TCCATGATGCTGTTCATTTTATTGACACTCACACCAACTTGTTCAGCGAAAGTTGTTAGAAAGAGGCATTTACTATCAGTGTTGCAGATTTCTGTCCAAAAACTAAATTCGGATCACTTAGTCTAACCAGTACAATGATAAATATATAAATCAATATTTAACTTTCAATTGACAATGTCAGATTTATTTACATCCAACAACAGGAGCATTAAAGCATCAACAAAAGCAACAAAAAACAATGAAACCCAAAGATCTCCACTCTTTGGATATAACGAAAAAATTTGAGAGCATGCCCTGGTTTTTAACCTGGTTTTCCATTGAATGAACTGTGATTGGTGCGGTGAACTGTGATGAACTGTCATTTCCAACGTAAAGGTTTTCACAAAACAGTACCTCCCACAGTTCGACTAGGACTATAAAAGGTACACTGGTCAGTGTCAAATTCAAACATATCTCGCAGAAGAAACAGAAGAATAAATTTACTTAAAATGTCCTGGAATAGAGCACAATATGGGGAAAAATGTCAAACAGAAATTGTATGAAAATCCAACTTTAATCACACTTTTATTTGATTTTAACGCGCTTGATTGCAACTTGTACTACGTCCCATCTTCTTCTTATGATCCTCAGTTTTCTAACCTAATTTCCCTTTTAGGTGAGTGGTGATGTCCCACACAGGGACTATATATGGCAACCTTTGCTGAAATTGCTGTAACAAGTCAAGATGAATTCAACAGTTATGGCAGTTTGGAAGAATTGAACATATAATTATTCTGTGTTGCTGGTCACTCCAAGCTGCTCTGATGTACCTCGGGCAAACAACTGCTGTCCCTGGAGGGAGAAAAGCTGCTGGAGAGAAGGCAGAGAGCCTCTGCCAGCGCGAGTCTGTGGAGCACAGTTTATTCTAATTCCTCTGCAGGACATTAATGAGCCAGGATAGTGGCTGTCTTAATGGGCAGCCAGACAGATTTTAAGTGCCCCGTGGAGTGTAATCCACAGAGGTACAACAGCATTGCTGCAAGGCCCAACAGATTGTTCTTAGTTTTCATTTTGCTCTAACTTTGCTTCTAAGCTGTTCATTAAAAAAGGGCATGTGCCCAGTGCATTTTAAGCCCCTGCCTTTGGGACCGCCTGGGGCCAAAGTCAATGCCATCACAGATTTTCATACATTTTGTTTCAGTTTTTGTCACTGTTAACCCGAGCTGCTTATGTTATTGTTAAAAAGAAAACACCACCGTTAGAATCATTAGTTGTTTATGTAGATCTTGAAAAGGAATAATGGTTTTTCATTTTGCAGGCAGAAGTGGATAATATCTATCAACTTCACAAATTTATAGGACTTTAATGGCTGATTAGTTATGCTTTTTTTAAACCACAGTTTCTCTTTACTTTCTATTACCAAAGGAATTCTCTACAGTGAGTTGCCCTTCTTACAAGAAGACCTTTTGGTGGTATTTCTCAGTTAAAATGGGTAAAACTGAAACCAGGAGCTTTATTTTTATTGTCAGTTTTTCAACTTGCATTACACACTTTTAATGTGATATGAGTCAGCCTAACTACACTTGATTGTGCATGAGTAATAATCATATTTTTCTAGATACAAAAATGTCAAACCACTATTTTGCGTATGTTTGCAGCAGGTAGTGTGTAACACACTGAACTAAACTATAATATATAACACTTAACAACATGAAACTCTTAGATTCAAACTGGAGGGAAATTATTGATGTAACCTCAGAAAGATTAGGCTGCTGTGGCATCACTCGGGGAAACAGTCACAGTGGTTAGTATTCATGATCATGAAGAAAATATTCCCCCAAGTTAACACCGACTTGTTTTCCCAACCTGGGTTGCTACTGAATTCCCATGCCTGTAGTAGATTGGTGTTCTGTTACATATAATAATTATAATGAAAGCACAAAGTGGCACTTAGGGTTTGAATGTGTTTTTCTAATGCCTATATTTTTTAGTAGCAAGATGTGAGAAACCTGTGCGTATGAATTATTCTAGTTATATGTACCTACACTTCATACTGTGGGTTGTTCAGATATATAGATATCTATTGTATGTGATAAAGGCAATGTTTTATTCTGCTGCTTCGCCCCTCTGTTGCCTAAGGCTGGACAGCTCCATGACTGAATCTGCAGAGAAGCTCAGTTACCTTCAAAGGGAAACCTACAGCACACACTGAACAGACATCAAACATAAATGAATTTTGCCCCGTCGAGTGGGGTTCAGAAACCTGCATCTGTGAGCTCTAAGTGTAGGTAGACATACTTTACATGCACCCACACACTGCCCTCTGTTTCTAAACCTCCGCAGCCTTGTCAATAGCTTGCAAAACGTTTGTGCAAAGTCTAATCCCTCTGTCTTGTTGGGCTTCATACATATTTATTACACTGTGCAATGATGTGTGAAATGCTGCTGAGTTATCGGTGACGAACATATGAATTCCACATGTGGACATGCGACACCTGCATTTCTACAAGATGATCCATACCTGTACTGTATGTGTATTGTGATGACATGTATTATATTGTATGTCCCCTATTTTATATTCTAGAAGAGTAAAAAATTAATATTTAGTACAAATTTTTTGTAAAGCATGAATAGTTTCACTCATAGTGTTTCTGAGAATTCATAATTTATGAAGACTTAATAATATGCTGTTCGAGTGCATTTTTAAAATATTTTTTGTGAGGTAGTGGCAGAGTGTGGCGATGTGTTTTGCTTTGTCCTTGTGTTTCTGAGTTCCTAACATGTATTGCTTCACATTTCAATGCTTTTTTGTAAAAGTGAAAAGCTTCATTACAGTAATAAAGGGTTGCTCCACTTCACACTGCAGTTACAATGTTTTTTGACCTTCTTCCAGAAAGTAAAGATTTAGATATGACTTTTCCTAATTGACTGAATGCTCTATTAGAAAGTGAGATATTCTAATAAAGCATATAAACGAATCACAGCTGTGGACTCGAAACCTGCTCAACCAAAAAAATGTGTTATTTATGAATAATAATTGTTATAACCTGGTGAAGCATTAATAAAATATTTGATAAGGAAATCAATTACAATTTATGTTTTATGCTGTAAGTATGCCTTGTACATAGTGCCAAGATTATTTCTATTACACTGTAATCTATTCTACTCCATACTGTAACTCATGACGGGACGTGGCAGAATTGCAGCCACATCATGTATGTGTATTTCTGTCCCCTCAGCACTCTGTGTATTGTACAATCAAGGCGAGGGGGCAACCATGAACACAGAGTGAAATGACAAGCATCCATAAATGAGATCTGGATGCTATTTGCTGACATTGCCAGACTGAGCACAAACTAAATATACACATGGTCAGAGAGTGCAGCACTATAGAAGCATGCTTACACCCGTGTAAGAAACAGCTGGGGACATGCACGGCTTCACTGTGAGCATACTGTATAGGCTGAGAAAGGGGCACCAGGTGTTGCTGCTATAATGTATGCAGACTGTGGAAAAGGTCAGGAGTTTAGAAATTGAGGCTCACAAACAGTTAATTCAGTTGTCTATGGAGGACTCTATGCCCTTCTGTGTTTTATTCCCCAGTCTGGATTAATAGGTACACAGCCCTGCAGTGATCAGAGATTTGGGTTCATTTACCCACATAATGTCTCAAATACACACGCTCACAGCTCTATGGCACACTGAATATAAATCAATTAAATGGTATTTTCATATTAGTAATTCCACAAAAAATGATAGCATCAATATCGGCTCTGCCCTTTTTCTCAGACACAGCAGCTTGACTGTAAAAATATGAGCATGAGAGACAGCATATTTGCCCAATATGCATGATGTCATGATGGGTGTCAGCATGCTGTGGCTGGACCTGTCAGAACTTCCAGGGAGAGTCAAGTTGATGTGTCTTGACTCAATGAGTAAGGACTTCAGACTCAAGCCCAGACCTTTGGCACTGTAACTGCACTGTGCAAGATTTTCCACTGAGACTACTGAGAGTCCCTGCTAACTACAAAATGCATATAATTAAGCACCGAACCCTGCAATACTGATATTACCAAAGCATGTTTCACATGCACATTACTAATTATGCCATGCAAATGAAATTAAATGATGATTTGTGGACAGTAGTGCAACATGGATTGAGACAAAGCACTGTTGTTTCTTCTTTACAGAGTTGCTAGTGCACACCTGTGTTGGTCCAGAGAACAAGCACTACCACTGCATCTTTTCACCGAGAGCCAGGGTTTCCTACAGTAGGTAGGTGTCAGAAATGAGAACGTACATCCCACTTAACTTCGACTCAAGCTTTCCTTTTCTCAAGCCAATGCCCCCTTTCTGTTCGCTTCCGTGGACAAGTTGTTATTTTCTGTCTGGAAGGTAGTGTACGGCTCCCCAGGGTCACGACTGAAAGTGTTCTGTCAGACTTTGCTTTAGAAAAACACACACTGCATTTATGTCTATCATTCAACCACTGCCGTCTTCTTTGGTCTTCATACATTTTATTTCTTTCCCTGGATTTTTTATGTGCACCATAGGAGACCAAATTCATATTTCATGAAAGAGAGAATTTAATTTGCATCTATCAGATGAATGAAATCACTGACTCTATTGGACCTTGTGCAGCAGCAGCTTTGCTGGTCAGTTGAGAGAAAATCTCTCCATGCCCTCTCTGCTATCTCAGCCCCCAAGTGCTGATCATCAGGATTATCAGCAATTCTTTTCATCAGGCCGACAGTGACTCTTCTTTCTACCCCCAGCTCACACTGCCTCTCTGCAGCATGCAACATGCATAGATTTCCCCTCACTCCGCTGCTGTACACAGCGACCCGGGGACAAAGATGGCAATCTCCCCTACTGCTGTTCCAGACCTGATCTGCATGGAAATTGGCTCATCTCTGTCAAGCTCATGTGCATGCTTTCAAGTTACTCTGGGATATATATCTGACCCTGTGAGCCAATCAGGCTCAGGATAAAAAGCAAGATAAACTATCATTATTTTTTACCTCATTCAGAGACTTCAGTGTGAGACTGCTATTCCCAAACGCATGCGGCAGAAGGACTCCCATTGATTCTAGAAATCCCGTGTTTGTCCCTGTTGTGTGTTGTCCCCCACTTCCTCTTCCTTGCCCCTTGTCGAAAGAGAGGCAGCATTCAAAGCATCCCTTTCTTTTATTCTGCCGTGCCAGCTGACACCCGCCTTCATCCCTCGGATGATGGAGATAAAAAAAAAGAGAGAGAAGGGAATATAAAGCAAAGAGAGGACACGGGCTCCCAGGATTTATATCCCTCCCTTGCTTTCTCTCCTCACACCAGCCGAAACAGGCGCATGAGGGGAAACGTCGGGGTGGCAGCGATGTATGCGCTCTTCGCCTCTTCTTTCTCTTGCTCTGCCTCCTCTTCTCCACTCTGCCTCTCTTTGTATCTCTCCCGGTTCTCTCTCTGCTCCTCTCTCTCTGTCTACGCGCGGCTCGTTGTTTCACACAGGAGCAGGCTGCTCTGTCGTGGCGGGTGAGACGGCTCTACGCGCGCAGAGACATCTGTGAATGTGCTTATGTTGGGGTTGGGGGGGGGACTAAAGTAGCCTCTTAGCTGAGATTGAGACCACCCTCCCCTCCTCCCTTTCAGAGATGGGCTTTCTAATGGCATGTACCATTAAAGCTCGGAGCAGGGTGGGCTGCAGCACTGAAAGGAGAGAGGGGTGAGAGAGAAAAGGGATGGGGGAGTCGCTCAGGGAGAAGGAGAGAGGGATAGAAAGAGAGCGATAGAGAGAGGAGGGAGATGGAGAGTATGTGATGAAAGAAAGAATGAAAGAGAGAAAGAAAGAGTCCAGTTCCATTGTGTATAACTGTACAGTCAGTTAAGTATGCATAAATAAGTGACAAACTGCACATCTCTGCCCTTTTGTCTTTTCTTTGCAGTTTGCAGATGCACACATGACCTCACTATACAGATCCTTCATCCCTGATAAAGACGTTTAAAGACAACAGCTTGGACATATGCAGAATCACTGTACAAGACAAGAGCATATGTTAGTTTTGGCAGGGGTGAATTAATTCTGGAAGAGCTGCAATTGTGTCACAGATAAAGCATTCCCTCATGCATGATTGGCTGCACAATAGCACATGTGCAGAAACATATTGCGGAAATTGGGTGGAATGAACAAAATTTTGCATGCACAGACAAAAGTCATTTTTGGTCAGGAGTTCACGGTGTTTATGTCCAGATGCTACCGTAGCTTCAGTGATTGGCAGGGACAACCCCGATGCCAATTCCACCACAACATTTCCATCCCTCTAAAAAAAAGTGCACCATCTAATTTCAGGCGTCACTGAATAAAAAGCCTGTCTGCTGTGGAGGTGAGACAGCGTCTGGTGTGAGGATCAAAAACCATCACCCCAGCCAGCTCACCTCCCCTGAGCCTGGAGACCAAAACCTGGCTCTCTTAAGGAGCTCAGCCAGGCCAGAAAAACGGGAAGAGGAGAGCTGGAACACAGAGGTGGCCCTGCTCAAGGGAACCACAGTGCTGGACATTACACTGTGTAAAACAAGCTGGAGAGAGGCAAAGAAAAGGACATCATTTCAGTATCACATGCATGAAAATAAACAAATTCATAAACAGGCATCTCTGCACGTTTGGGTTTTAATTACATCTGATATATGAAACCTCCCCGACTATTTTTCATTTTGCCCTTACAGTATGATGAAGAAGAGCGGGTAGCAGCCAAGAGGGAATTGAAATCACTAAATTGTTGTGAAGAGCGCAGCCGCTAATGTGATGGTGTGTGCGTGCCCCTAAGCCTGAATAACCTGAAGAAAAGCCGTCAGATGATCTAGTGACTGCGTGCTATATTTCGCTGCAAAGTGTTATGTGGTATTTTGAGCTTCAGTCCTTGAACTCTCATGACTTGAGTTGCTGAATCAAAAAACACTTGACAGAACAATTTACTGGAAAGGATGAGTGTTTCAGGGTGGCTTCATCATGTGTAGAAAAACAGAAAAAAAGGGGTTGTTTGAGGTTCCAGGGAGCGTTCATCAGAGAGTTGCATTTGAAATGTTGACATATATTTTTTGAGCACCAACCAACCAAACAGCTTTAAGGTGCTGTTAGATGGACTTTTAGCCTTCGGGCAGAGAACAGGCTAGCTTTTTCCCCTGTTTCCAGTCTTTGTGCTAAGCTAAGCTAACCAGCTGCTGGCTGTACCCTCATATTTACTGCACCGACACACATGAGAGTGGTGTTGACCATCTCATCTAACTCTCAGCCATAAAGTGAATAAGCATGTTCCAAAAAATTGTTTCTTTTAAGACTGTCGCCACATAACAAAAAAGGTCTGGGAATTAAATCTCAGCTGCAGTCCTGAGCAAAGTTTTCATGCTCTCCTGCAGGTTAGGTGTACTGGAGACTCCAAATGATGCATCAGTGTGAATTTGAGCTCAAGTGTTTGATATATGAATCCTCTGAAACATGCTTGTGTGAAGGACTATAAATAAACTTGACTTGACTATTCAGTTTGCAAACAGGACATGATTACACACACAGTGCCTGTTCTGACATACAGAGTCAAGGTCGTGTGTGTTTGGTCAGTATATCAAGAATCCATCTTGAGACTTGATCGTCTGATTTATCTGCTGCTGTGAATCCATTCTAGGGACATGAAGTTGTTTATATAATTCAAGCATGAACCAATGAAGTCTTTATGTAGTGTGTGTGTGTGTGTGTGTGTGTGTGTGTGTGTGTGTGTGTGTGTGTGAATGTGTGTGTGTGAATGTGTGTGTGTGTGTGTGTGTGTGTGTGTGTGTGTGTTTAAAGTATGCCATGTATGTCTTAAATCTTTCAGAGCTCAACCCTGGCTGTGGGCGGTGCCTCTTTCCCTTTTGGACGAGTATGATTTTTTTCCCACAAGCCATCTGGTGCGTCTTTTCAGGCCTAATAAGAGGGAAACAGAGAGGACTTGGAGTTCAGCAGATGATAGAGATGGGAGCTGAGTAGACCAGCACACACACACACACACACACACACACACACACACACACACACACACATCCAGGACAAGGGCAACAGATGGAAGGGGCCCCGATATGCTGCCGGGGCTGGAGCCAGGCCTGGTGGGCAGGCCCCACTGGCTTCACTGGGGGTCCATTGATAGCTAATGGTCTGACAGACTTTGAAGTGCAGAGTTGCATCCAGAGAATATAATTCTACTTTGCTGGGCAAACTAGACTCTCTTTGGGAATTGTTACACAAATGCATTTATTTGGTGCATAATAAGTGGAGTTATCATCTATTCCAATCCACAAAAAATCAATTTCAAAATATAAATAATCATCGCTGAAATAGAGTACGCTTCATTTAAGGAGTGTTATCAAAGTGCCACACACAGACTTATGTTACCTACTATTTCAGCTACAGCAATTTATTTGTCACTTTTCTGCTACTGTGTTATTATCTCTACATACCAAACATGACCAAACCAATCCCCCTTTAAAGTGTGTAGGTTTTTTCCTATATTGCACAGTACAACCCATTGAATTGAAACTAAATGTGTCATTATATTTCAACATGCAATCAGAGACTTTACCACAATTATCTGCCTTTTTACTTAACTTGCAAAGCAAACTACATCCAAAGAAAACTGCCAACATACATGTCAATTTGGAAAGAAACATCTTTCAAGTGTCCAATGTCTCAGCGTGAGGAAGATAAATGCTCCCTGCTGTGCCTGAACAGTGATCATCATCTAAGAGTTCCTTTTTGGTAAAAATTTAGTTGTCAAAAGCTTTCTAAATTCAGTCCACGGTGCTTGACACTTTCGCACAATTGTGTTTTTCATGTCTTGCAGGATGGCCTGGAGGCACACACACTTACCAGGGAAGAGGAACGACAGAGTGAGAATGGAAAAAGGTAGTGTCAGGGCTGTGTCAGACACAATTATGCTATTTCTCCGAGCTGCATACAAAAGAGTGCAAATAGGCATGTTTGTGACCAATAAAACTGCGAGTTAACACAGACTGTGGCAGCTTGTCACTGTTTTCCAAAATGTCTGACTCATATGTGTCTTTGAACTAGACACCTCTACAATAAACTCTCCCTGGTGTGGATGAATGACACTAGCTTGTATGTGATGGTTATAAAGAACATTAAACTGATACATGGGCAGGTGGCTGGCCCAATAACAGCCTGTGTTATAGCTTCCCTGTGTCTATGGCCTTGGGCTGTATCATTACTTGGAGGTGAGTATGTTGCCAGGTGACCCCCACAGGTAGTCCCCAAGACTGATGGATAGTGAAGGTGCACTGGCCCCGTTTCCTGATAACAAGTGAGTGGTCTTCCCGGAGCCAACATTGGAGAACAGCTGTGGAAATGAGAGTAAACCTTATCATTTGACTAAAATATTGTCGTTTGAAAATGAAATAGCTGCTCTGACTTCTATTTTGTTTTGAGTTTCATTAGTAGCAGATTATTAAAAATATAACAAATGTCTTGGGTGGGGACAGTATGTGTCCAGACGGGTGTAGTGCATCTGTTGGCAGTCGGATGGCTGTCGTCATATTTACTTCACTATTATGTAGGAAATTATGTCAAATGGGTGTGTGATTATGAAAATGTCACTTTGGCAGCATTAGCTTTGGGTGCACACATAATTGTGCTGACATAAATCCCCCAAGTATGTCACTGAGATGTTAAAAACATATTATATAATAACATTTTTACATACATTTATATGTCAGGCTTTTGTCGCATGCTCCTATCCAGATGAGTGACTTACAATAAGCTCAAGACAATATGATAATTACCTGCATTGTTGAAAAGCAACAAATATAGCATTAGTGGTAACTATGTAAGTAAGTAAGTAAGTAAAGTAAAGCTTTATTTATATAGCACCTTTTTAACACAGAGGTCCAAAGTGCTTTACAAACAACAAACATAGATATGGGTATTAAATATAAATATGTACATGCATAACTATACCCAATCAAACATACCTACATAGGGAGCATGTAAATACAAACATAAGGAAGATTAAAAAAAAGAGTCCGACTGCAAGGCAAGGAAATAAATAAGACAGGTAAAAGTCAGGCATGCTTTTGATATTCATTTTAATTTTATCATCCATTTAAAAGCAGACATTAATTCTGCAATCCTACAGTCCAATTGATCATTTGTTAAACCTCTCCTTCAAACAGTGATTGTCCAGTCACAGCAGAGCAAATGGCACAGCAGGTAGAGCATCGAAATGGATGAGTCCCGACAAATATCTGTGAAACACTGAAATGTCCCCGTTTTAACCACAATTAAAATAATAATTATAATATAATACTTGTATTCAGCGCTTTATCATAATTTACCACATTTATCATGTTCTGTCCCACTCATTCGTACCTCACCCAATATAAAAACAGGAAGAGAAAGTCGTTCTTTTCTAAAAAGCTAAGCACTGAAATAATTGAAATGAAACTTCTGCATGGTAGACATAGATGTCTATGGTGCATGCACAAGCGCATGTGCGTATGCATGAACATGCAGTGCACTTTAGGGTCCTGGTTTGGGTGTTTGAAAATATGGTCACCTTAACTATTTCCT